CTTGTGACCCCAATCCAGCAAAATGTAGTCAATGCTAACTCCCACGGGGGAAAGGAAGCTTACACTAGAAGTTGTGACCAAGTTGTTCCCCTTGTTTGAATGCCATCATTACCACTTTCGGCTGGACGGGGGCCTGCACACTACATCAGGAGCTAATGACAGAAGGATACATATGCTGCCCTTTCTCATTCCTTTCCTGGCATCCCAAATACCAAGCTTCTGAATAGCTTCTTAAAAGCAAGCAGGATAACCTCGTCCTGAACTCTGGAAAGTAACCAGAGTTGAATTGCTATTTTCCACTGATTCAGTAGTGGTAGTGTATGGGTGGGGAACTTTTTCCCAATGTTTATCCTACTTGGTTCTGAAGATGCTCATTTTAAAAACAGCAAGTTTCCAGCTGTTAGTCTGCAAGAACATTTTTTTTAAGTCTGCATGTAGTGTTTAGTAAATTCTCACAACACAATCATAATACTTCCTGGAGAATTCACTTTTGTGCAACTCATAACTGACAGCAGAATATATTATGTAAATGAATTATATAAAGAAAATATATACACTTTAATTCAATTTTTCGCATCAGATACATGCTTAATTTTGAACTTCATTGATGGATATGTAATAGGAGAGACAAGTCAAATGTAAAGAACCTAGAAGTTGCTCTATAGATCAATGTAGCTGTATAGGATTACTGAGCAATAAGTAATTATTCAGTTGCAGAAAGTCATACTGAACCTGACAAAACAAAACAAAAAAAACTTGGAACAACTGAAGTTGCTGCTGAACTGAAACCAAATCAATGTAATCATTCGATTTTCTGCAGTTTCTAAATTGTGTTCCAATATTGCACCAAACCCATGATTAACCAACATGCACTTTTAATATCTGGTTTTTGTGTTTCATTGTGATTAATATTTTCAGTTATTCTGATACGTTTTATTTTTTTTTCTGTCCACATGTACATGAACAATTGAATATATCTATATTGAAAACTTTAGCTCACTTCTCACTTCTCTTATCCCTTCTTCCATTTTAGGATCTGGTAACACAATATTTGCTATAGGTAAGTAGTTAGACAGTGATGTTTTCTCAGTCTTACAAAATAAACTGCTCAGCTAGAAACATAAAATAATTTACTGCCTGGTAGATTACAGAAGTTTTTGAATTCTTTTTAGTATAAATATTTGCATGTAAAACTCTGAACGAAGTAAGCTGAAATTTTTAATGTCCTACCCTTTTCTTTCATATAAAGTATGCATCTCTACTGCAAATATAATTCCTTTTAAAACTGATTAACATTTCTGGGTCTTCTGATCCTGAAGCAAAGGGTAGAAACAGGTATTTCATTAAGCCAAAACATTTTTCCAGCCCTCTACTCTTGCCTTTGCATATTGGCAATATAGGTGCACTAGCTGCATGTGCGTGTCATTAAAGCTCACAATAATGTTATGAGGAATGGGATGAATAATACTGATGTGTCCAGGCTCATAACTTCCATATCCTGTATCTCAGGTGTGTTTTGAGCTATGGCGGTTTGTAATACTGAGGCGTGTCTTGAAGATATCTATAGGAGATCACCACACAGAATGTTTAAAGAATGGGCTGTCGTTGTACTAATGTGAAAAATTGCATTTGCACAGGGCAGCAGGCTTGATTTTCGTTGATTGCCCCCACACCACCATTCCCTACTAGAGTCCTACACACCATACCCACACGGTTGCAAGGCATCCCCGCCACCCAGGATCATCTTGGGTATTTGGAGGGCTGCACTGGTTGGGAGGGATTGGCAAATGTCAGGTGCTTTGCCTCACACAAGGGGGGCTGCTTTCGGTTAGTCACTGGGAAGGCATTTCCTAAAATAGGTTGCCAATGCCATGAAGCTGAGGCACGATCAAGCACTGGCCAAGGGTCCATATCCCAGCAGGGTCTCACTCATAAAAGGCTCCTGAGCTTGGTCCTCCCCTTCATTGGAGACCCATGTTGGCTAAAGGGGCAGGATAGACATCTAATAAAGAAATAATTAATGAATAAAATCATTGCAACTTCCTTGTTATACCAGTGGTTATACCTGCACAAGTTAACCATGGGAACCCACAAGTACCTGTGAGCATTTGATTCCAAAGCAGAGTCTGAGAAGAATCTATTGGAAGTGCAGAAAAAAAGCCAAACTATACTTAAGTGATATATCTTACACAACTTGTTTACACACTGCATATATAAGCCTGGTCAACTTTGTCTGCTTTACTTCTAATATCCTGCAGTTGCTAACAGTCAACAAATTCTTTCTGGTTCTGTCATTTTACACAAACTGGTTTTTCCAGCCAAAGAACAGGTCATTTCTTCTTTGTTTCAAAATGTCAGTCATGTGTTTTGGAGTGGCATGTATGTGTGTTTCTTTTCTCTTCTTACTGACAAGAACATTTAAACAAAAGAAAGTAATTTTTGAAATTCATTTCTGTGAAATGTATAAATGTGAACTTGAAATCTGTGTGGTTTTATTTTTTGCTTTTTATAGGACAACTGACCCTCATTCTGGCTATTCTGGTTCTCATTGTATAGTCCTGGTAAAAGTTCTACCAGAGTAAGAAAACTGTCTCTCTCCAAGACCCTGGTCTGATTACACTGAGTATCTGCAGTAAAGATACAGATGAGGAAGAAATTAATGAGGTTCTCATTTTCATTTTGAACTTTTCAACCACCTTCTATGTCAGTTACTCTTCATGAGTTATACTACTTCAAATTTTACAATGCAGTTCTATAATAAAAATGCCTGTATTAGGATAAATGTACTCCAATTGCTTATGCAGTGTCATATAAATTTTAAAAATTCTCTAAGTTTTAAAGGCTAGAGAAGTTCTCAAATTTCAAGGTAGTCCAGAGTTTCAGTTAAGACTGAACAATGAAAAAGCGAGAAAAAGCAAACTGACAGATTTGTCTATCCCTAAATGAAGGTTTATCATTTCTTCCCTCTTCCACTAATAGCAAATACTACATTTCATCTGAAATAAATCAATGTTAAAGTTATTTTTAATCAGTGTTAAAATCAACAAGCAATTATCTGTTGCTTAGCATCCTGCAAAGCTGCAGAATGACCTCACTATATTGTAATACTGACCAGTCCAAATGTATATTTATTTGGTTCATTTGGCTCATAAAACATCTTAATGTTTTAATTAGCATCTTAATGTCATAGCATCTTAATGTTTTAGTGTACTGCGAACCACTTCGAGCGCAATATATTTTGGGAAAATGCAATATAAAGAGGGTTATGCTTACAATCATCACAAATTAGAAAGGTTCTTAACATTTTATTTATGTTGCCATTTGTCAGTATTCAGAAAATACCAAAGCAGTTGAGGAACAGAAACATCTCATCCAAATGAGGTAACACTACAGCTAGTATCAGACAAGAGATTCCCATGGAAGGACCCAGCTTCCTTAGTTCCATGCACAGGTAGCTGTAGTCTGATTTATACTGTGCCACTGCTGCAGATGGCCATATTAGGATAGTCTTCCGCTAACCACCCAGCAGGGGTAAGGTGACAAATGTAGCTCATAAGAGTCTATCCATTTTATTTATCTTAGAAATAAGGCAATAGGCAAATAGTTGGTTGCTGGTTAATATTTTGATATAATTATTTGTATGTGTAACACATAATAAGATGTTGTGTTTGTGTAACACGTATTTGATGTTGCTTGGTGATGTGCTTAATAAAAATTAAATGTTTTTATTCTACTTTTTGTCCATGGTGTAGTTCACAAAAGCAAACTGCATACTGAGCAAACTGCATATCACTCACCATGTAATGCATTGAAAGAAATAACACCCCAAAATATCTCTCTACTATTTATAAATCAATACTTTACTATTAGTTTATTAGCTAAATGTTGTTTGTGGCTATTTCAGAGTTCAGCAAAGGTATCATTTTACAACTTTTGTTTCTGTTTGCCATCTGGCCTGGCTCCGTTCTTCTAAACTGTCTTCTTGTGAGGAACATCTGTGTACAGCAAGAGAGTTTTGATGTACGATAAGCAAACTGTTTCTCTCTCCTTGAAATGACAAGCCTAGGGTGGAGCTTGTGTGCCTCTGAGAAATCAAATTATCTAACGTTTTATATGTAATCAATGTGGCCTAGTGCTTAAGTGTCAGCCTAGATGTAAAAGATCCAGGTTCTAGTCTGCAATTAGCCATGTTGCTCACTGGGTGACTTATGACCAGTCACTGGGTGACTTATGACCAGTCTCCGCCCAGCCTGTCTCAAATGGTTCTGTAGAATAAACATTGTTGTTGTTGTTAGTCGCGAAGTCGTGTCCGACCCATCACGACCCCATGGACAACATTCCTCCAGGCCTTCCTGTCCTCCACCATCCCCAGAGTCCACTTAAGCTCACACCAACTACTTCAGTGACTCCATCTAGCCACCTCATTCTCTGCCATCCCCTTCTTCTTTTGCCATCTATTGTTCCCAGCATTAGACTCTTCTCCAGGGAGTCCTTCCTTCTCATTAGGTGGCCAAAGTATTTGAGTTTCATCTTCAGGATCTGGCCTTCTAAAGAGCAGTCAGGAATGATCTCCTCTAGGACTGACCGGTTTGATCGCCTTACAGTCCAAGGGACTCGCAGGAGTCTCCTCCAGCACCACAATTCAAAGGCCTCAATTCTTCAGCGCTCAGCCTTCCTTATGGTTCAACTTTCACAGCCGTACATTGCAACTGGGAAAACCATAGTCTTGACTATATGCACTTTTATTGGCAGGGTGATGTCTCTGCTTTTAGTATGCTATCTAGATTTGCCATAGCTTTCCTCCCCAGGAGCAAGCGTCTTTTAATTTCTTGGCTGCAGTCCCCATCTGCGGTAATCTTGGAGTCCAGGAAAATAAAATCTGTCACTACCTCCATTTCTTCCCCATCTATTTGCTAGAAGTGAGAGGACCAGATGCCATGATCTTAGTTTTCTTAATAGAATAAACATGGAAAGGAAGATTATGTAAACTGCCTGGGGTTCATTGCAGGAAGAAAGCCAGACTATAAATATAATACAATGCAATAATAATAAAAACAGAACATAATCCAATAAAATACAATGTGCATGCTCATTGAACTAGTTTAGAACATGAAGTTTGTTCTAAATTGGACACTGTGATCATTTTTGCAATAGCAAATGTATGGCCTCAGATGAACGGAGATTTTGTACAGTGAGAAATTAGGAATGGTTTGGGGTTGCAGGATATCAGTACAAATTTCAGTGCAAGGGATTCCTTGTTATGTGCCATCAAGTTGTCTCCAACTTATGATGATCTTATTAAAAATGGAAGATGAAGAAGCTGTATTCTTGTTACCAAAACAAGTGGAGGGGCTACACCACGGGTCCTCAAACTATGGCCCGCAGGCCGGATGCAGCCCGTCATGCCCATTTATTTGGTCCGCCACAGAGGTTTTGGACTCACTGTGCACGTGGCGAGGTGGGGGCTTGCTCATGCAGAGATTGTTTTGGACTCGCTTGGAGAAATGGATCTCTGAGTGAGGAAGTCTCCACCTTGCAGTGTGTATGCCTAGTGGCAGCTTGCTCTCAAGGAGATCGATTTGGACTCACTCAGAGAAAAGAATCTCTGCCCAAGCAAGCCAATGCCTCACCACGCATGTGTGCGTGCCCCCTGGCTCGGCCCACACCCCCCGCCTGCACCATCTTGGCAGCCCGCGCCCATCGCTGGCACCTTTCAACTGCCCCCCTGCTGAAAAAGTTTGAGGACCCCTGGGCTACACGTTTCAAAATGGGTGAACTTCTCAGTGACAAAGCTGCACATTATGCTGAGATTCAACTAGTGGGTGGGATAACATGTAATATGTACCAGATAAAAGCACATTTATTCTGGCTATGACTTTTTAAAAAGCCAACAGCAATAAAAATACACCCATATGTATTTTTCTGGGGAGGGTGTTCCAAAGATAGGAGGCTACCACTGACAAAGTCCTGTCCTTAATACCTGCTAGTCTGATGGCTCCTGCTGGTAGGCCAGAAATTCAGGCTTCAGTGCAGATTGTATGATTTCACAGGCTAGTGCACTGCAGGCTGCGTGTGTATTCAGAATATTTTCAAATAGGAAACAATATGTATCTTTAATGAAGAAAAATGAATTGACTGATCTCAAAATAACAGCTGCATTCAAATACTGAGTTATTTATTGGCAACTGGAAGCAAGATAATGTCCAACTTTAAAAAGCATCTATTCATTTGACATTACTGTTGGCATTTTAAAAAAGCTTCCCTAATACTATAAGGGTACAATACTATACATAGGCAGAAAAAAGTTCTACAAGGCCCAGCATTCCTCAGCTTGCACATCTGGCTGGGGAACGCTGGAACTGTGAGATTTTTTTTTTTTTTTAAGACTGTCATCCTTTACATAACTTTCTAGCCACTGCATTTGATTGAACTTCCTCCTGGATAGATACATATAAGATTGCACTGCAGAGCTGCAATACTGAACACAGTTTTAAATAACCCCCATCAAACACATTAAAAAAATTTAGGGGCTTTTTTGGTGGGGGGTTAAACATGCATTGGGTGGTACTGCATACCCTACCTTTAGCCCTACATCATACTGATCTGCAGTCACATAAAATAATCTTTGTAATTTGCTTAAAGGATTCCAAACTTTGAATGACCCCACTTTTTGAAGGGGAAAGAGAGTGTATATTTTTAAACATGATGCTAAATAAATACTTAAAATCACAGGAGTGGAAGTTATTAATTTAATAATAATTTAAGCAATCAGATTAAAGATAAAAAGCCTCTTCCCACGTTTCCCATCTAATAGTGGATGAAAGAGGAAAGAATAGTAGGTTACTAGAACATGCAGCCAAATATAGTAGGAAGTAAAACAAAAGGCAGAGTACACAAGTATGAAAAGAGGTGGGGGGAACAGGAGGTACAGGACAGATGTAAAAGTGGAGTGCAAGTAGCAGAAAAACCCACACTCCTTAACAAGGCAGGGAAAATAATACTATGTAAATAGAAAGTTGACCTTTTTTCTCAAATATCTTTGTGTGGTGCACTCTTGCTTTCTGGACATTGTGGTCCCAATCTCATGAATCTTAGTGACATATGCCAAAAAAATAATCAGTACTTAATTAGTCACAATGGAACTGTCTCTCTCATCTAAGTGGGCCTGATATGTAATTTACAACTTGATGTTAAATATGTTAATCTATAGTCCTGCTGTGTTCTGTGGGACTTACATCCAAGTCAGCAGTAAGCTGCAATCCAATGCCCCCTTACTTCAAAGTAAGACCCAATGGACTTACTGAGGCTTCCTTCTGAGTGGACATGTGCAGGATTATGCTGTAAACCTGCAACCTTGTAGGCAGACAAGCTTTTTAAATGACACAAAAGTGAACAGTCTCTAAGCAGCCTAAGTCTGTGTAGGGTCATAACCTTATTCATTTTATGTTACGATCTCATGTAAATATCATTGACTGATGAGATTGAAATATGGAGCCTTGGGGAGAATATTTCTCCTTCTGAGTTCTAATTTGAAAGGACATAACATTAATTTGTGATTATTCAGATAGAGAGGTATAGAAAAGACACTGGGTGGATTCTCTCTCTCCTTCCCTCCCCACCCCCCTCTCTCACACACACACTTTAATTGGAGTAAATAGTCCAAGTGCAGAACATACAGGAATTCTGTGGTGCACAAACCTTACAAATGCTTTTGAGTTCATAGGGTGGCTGTTGACAGGTTGGGCCTCTAATAAAACCTTCAAGAGTTTTGAAAAAATTTCTGCTTGCACTAGGTAAAGCAAACTGAGTCCGGTTCACATGTATGTTTACTCATTCAGTGAAAATAATCTTTTTTTATAAATTGGGATCTCACCCTAACCTTGGCGGAGCTAGAATTTTGAGCCCAACGACAGCTTTGGGTGTGGGTAGAATGCAAAGGACTTTCGGATTCCTTTTACGGAACAAGCCTAGCAACGAACCACTGTTGTCAGCCTGCAGGGAAAACAACGTAATCATCGCAGGAAACTGGGGAAAGAGAAAAAAAGAAGAAGGAGGAAGATAAAGCGGAAATCCACCCCGTCACACAAGTGTACTTCTCACACTTCTTTGAGCCAGGGAGACCCGCACACGTCGACCGTCCTGCAGATGCCGCTTTCCCGTTACAAGACCTTGAATTTTCCGGAAGAGTAGCCCGAAGGCTTGTATTGGACGTCCCTGGGTCGTCCCCTGCTGGCGCCCCGGTCTCCCTCTGTGCGGAGCTTTGCTGCACCCTCTCGCAGCCTTCCCGTGAGAATCAGTCGCTCAAAGGGCTGCGGACCTCGCTTTCCTTGCAATGCTTGGGTTCCCGCTGTCCGCTCTGAATTCGAGGCTCTTCGTGCTTCTTTCAGTGCTTTCCGAAATACACGGTAAGTAAATAAAGGGAGAAGGATGCTGTGACAACGTGAGAAAACGACTTCCTGCCCTTTTGATCTTCTATTCTGTAGTGCTCGTTCTCCCCTGGATAGGAGGGTCTCTCTCTCTCTCTTTTCTATTTATTTGCACTAGTCATTGCAATAGTTCTTTTTGTCTGAAAATGGCTGTTGCTGAAATATTACATTCAGAATTCTTACCCTGTTTATGTCACCTTTTGCTTTTCACCTGTCCTTAGAAAGTATGTTTCTTCTGCCATTCATCTAGGCTTTTACTTTCTTTTTGCCACAGGAATTGGTAATCTTCTCTAATAATATCTTGCTTTCAGTTCTTCTGCCTCCTGGTCATTAAGTTGTGAAATGAAAATCAGTTCTTTATGCAGACTTTAAATTCCTCAGGAATGTTATTTAAGTTGTATTTTGGCACTATGTTTGTGTTAGTGAACTTTTTTAGCTTGACTGATTTTTTTATATTATGAGTTCATGTTGATGACAGGAATCTGCTCCTGGGCTTATTTTGGCAGTGAGAATACACTGTGATGGAAAGCCAGCTAGGATTCCCCACTCCCCTGGCCAACTGGGTTTCCTGCCAGACATCCCTTATCCAGAAATCCTGGACCAGCCACTGGATTCAGCACACAATGGGCCTAAGCTTGGGGAAATAAACTTTATTAAAAGTGTAAAAATAGAGGTGAAGGGACTAAAACATACAAGTCTAAAAGGATAAAATCAGGGAAGTGGGAGAAGGAAGGGAGGAAAGGGGAACTGGACAGCAGCAATAAAGTTCCAGCCAGCCAAGAACCCCCTTCCCAGGGCCTTGCCCACTTGGACACTAAAATAACAAACAACTTCTATCTTAGCTTAGGCACAATAACTCTGCTTTCTAACAGCACAGCAAAGCACCATAACCATCATCTGTGCAGAGGATCAGCAGCAGAACAGAACTTCCCCAAAAGAGGAATGAAACACTTCTTGATCCTTGGAGCTTCATTCCCCTGCAACCTCAATCAGCTGACCATGGGTGAACACCTAATTCCCAGTCTCCAGGGTTTACCCATTAACTCTGGGTGCTAGCCACCAATTTCACTTTTTTATCTCTTGTGACCTTGAAGCCAATTAAGAGTTCTCACTTCCCTAACCTGAGGGAGGTGAAAATCTCCCAGAGGCTTTGACTGCCTCAATCCCACAAGGCTGGCACCTAGTATTTCCAGCATTTTATCCTTTCCTGAGTCAACCCATCCCCTACCTCCTGAAGCCTGGAAATCAAATTCGCATTACATATAGATTCTCCATCTTCTGCTATTTGTTTTCTGTACTGGCCATCTGGTGATGTCCATGTATACACCCTTCTGATTGGTTGCTTGAAGTGTATATTTGCATTAAACAGATTGTTGGCTTCAGAATTCTGAGTCATTCTCTTGCTTCATTTCTTACCCCAGGCCAAATTTGCACACAGCTTTTGAGTCTGCTTTGTTTTCTACTTTTGCATTCCAGTCACCTAAGATTACCAGCATATCTTGCTTTGGCATACTATTGATTTCATTTTGAATACCTACATAAAAGTTTTCAATTTCTTCTTATTCAGCATCTGTTGTAGGAGCATAGAGTTGAATGATAGTTATGATGATAGGCTTCCTGCAAGTTCTGATTGATATTATTCAATCAGATTTTCCATTATAGTTCTTTACTGCCTGTGCCACATCTTGCCTCAGTATTACACCCACCATTTCTTCTGAGTTTGCCATTTCCAAGATAAAACTCTTTGTGCCTGACTGAAACAACAAACACATAAACAAAAACATTCCAGTCCACTTCGGTTTACTCACACCAAGTACTGTGCTGTTTAGGCCTTCCATTCCGTGCTTCATGGTTTCTAGTTCACCTTGATCCATGCTTCTCACATTCCATCTTCCAATTGTATATGATGTGCAGCAGTGAGCTTTCCTTTCACCTCCATGCATGTCAACCGCTAGATTTGTGCTTCCCTAGTAGCTTGCTGAGTGTCTGCCAACCTAGGTCACTCACCTTTCAGCACTATCTCTTGTTTCATTTTGGATTGCTTCATCATAGCATTTTCAAGTTAAGAAGAGTCATAAGTGCTTTACTTTGCCTTCTTCTGAGCAGTATTATGCAGAATTAGCTTGAGCATCATTGCTGCTCTCTATGAAAGATCTTCTACCAGAGTCACCTTCAGCTACTGTTTCTGTCCAGTAGCTGCTTTTCAGATGTATTTCTGCCCCCATCACCATTAGAGATAACTTCTCTTCTGTTAATGTGACCATTCCTCCTGAAGAGGATGGATGCATCTTAGTCTAGAGCAGGGGTCGGCAACCTTTAACACTCAAAGAGCCATTTGGACCCATTTCCCACAGAAAAGAAAACACCGGGAGCCGCAAAACCCTTTTATTTATTTTATTTATTAAAACATTTCTATGCCAAAAACATTTCTTTTGACATCTAAAATGAAGTTGACACTGCATATATAGTTTTTAGCTTTATGCTATGTATAAAAAAAAACTATAGTGTGTTGCATTTATGAAATCAATGAACTGCTACAGAGAAAACAAATTTTTATTTCTGCATGCAAGAAAAACATTTTGAACTCTGAAAAAAAAGACGCTGGAAAGTTACTTTCAAATAAAATATTCAATGTCTATCTGAGTCCTCCTTGAATTTATGAAATAAAAAGCCGAACTTATATTATTCACTAGCAGCAAACCAAACATGCCACCTGCAGCAAACCAAAAATGCCGTCTGCTTCTGTGTGCCCTCATCCTTTTATCACGTGGTGAAATATTGAACAAACATCCCTCTCCCAATGTAATAATGTTGCTGGAGTTTTTATAAGAATGTTTATAAGAAGTAGATCTATATCTTCATTATGATTTAGCTGCAGCTCTTGTTCATTCACTAAAAACTGTTATTTTTAATCTTACATTATAAACTAGTAGGATTCCTTTCATATATTTTGAATAGGAGAACAGCTTCCTGCAGAGTCAAAGTCAGTGCTAAAGGGCTGCATGCATTAAACAGCAAACCCCATAAGTTCGTCAGCAGTAAAAGCAAATGAATCTACCCACATACCATTAAACCTTCGGTTTTCTTCAGAAACTTTTCTTATCTTTGGATTTATGCATGGTTGGAAGGGAGGAAAGGTCAGCAAATTGGTGCTGGTCGCAGATATAGGTGTGTTTAGTGAATGATTAGCAGATAAACCGTCAAGTGATTTGAATTGTGACAGGTCCCAAGCACAGCTTTTAACATTCAGATGAAGGAGATTACACTGGGACAAAGAGAATCTTTTCAGCAGTGTTTTGTGTAACATGAGAGCCTGCAGGAAGCTTGTTTAGCAGAGGAATGTAGTGATTTACTTAACTAGCTGATTTACTTAACTAGCTAGCGCTGCCTTCCTGAGTGGAGCTTCGAGTGGATCAGCGGCTGTGTGTTTTGAGCGACGGAGCCGCAGCAGAGCGGTTCAAGAGCCACATGCGGCTCCGGAGCCGCGGGTTGCTGACCCCTGGTCTAGTCTCTGCTCCGAAAATTCCACCTTGGGTAACCCCACTAGGAAACCAGCCTAGTGAGAAAATCTGGCAACATGACACTCAATTTCTTTGATACTGTCAAACCACCCCTACCACAAGGCATTTATCCAAGAAAAGGAGGGGGAAATGTTAATTGAACTTCCTAAATATGGTTCTTTTAGAACTGATAGTCACTTTCATTTTAAACCACATAGACTAAAATAACTGTGTCTGGCTGAAGTCCTATGCATGTACATGATGTGGAAAAACCAGTTTAACTCAGTGGGACTTTCTTAGGAGCCATGCACTGTATTACACTGAAACTCATGAAGAGCTGAGTTCCAATTGATTTCAGTGACAGTTAAGAATGACTTTTCTGAATTGTTAAAGATAATGTATTCTAGTTTTAAATATTAGGTGTTCTGGTTTTACCAAGTTACTGGTTCTAAAAATCACAACAAGCAAGTCATCAACACTCAGAAGAAGCATTTTGTTGATCCCCAGAGTTTTTCCCTACTATTTCAAATACCAAAAAGAAGTGCTGATGACCCCAGTTTCTACTCACATACCTGTTTCTAGAGTCAATGTCCCTAAGTAATTCTTTGCCCAATGCAAATGAATAGGCTTTGTTGCTGGGCTAAAACTTCTATTTGTGTATAAATTTGTTAAATTTGGTGAATTAGTAAATTGTATTTACTAGGTCAAGACACTGACATTAAGGATAGTATAGTGCCTGAAAGGAGTTTTAAAGTTTTCAGACCCTCCCTTGAAAGAAAAGGTTTGATTATTCCAGTGTATCTCAGAGAGAAGCATCTTAAGAGTCCTCATATTATGACTGCCAGAGATTTTAGGAAGCTGTTTGCATGCAATCAAGCTGGGGCAAAAGGTGATTTGGAGGAAGAATACTTAGGATATTATTTACATTTGGTCTGTATCATTTGGTTCAGAACGCAATAGTCAAATCTTGTAAATGGTGCCTTTGTTGTTGGACCGTCCTGAGACTTTTATATATAGGACAGGATACACAAGTTTTAAACCAACCAACCAACCATGGATTGCTGACTGCTCAACTGGAAATTAGTTTTTATTGGAGGGCAGGGGAAAAGACGTAACTTAAAAAGTAGCCATATCTGCAACAGCTAGAGCAAATACAGGTGCTTTGCACTGCTGCTGAAATATAACGGGCAGTGCAATTCCACAGCTTCTAGAAAGCATCTGATAACCATAGGATCCTTTGGAAGGCCAGATACTAGGTGGAAAATTGCTCCAACATCATAGCTGGGTCTCCATCCGAAGATCCCCCCTCCCCACTGTTAGCACGGGAAGAACTGCACCAGCTGCAGAGAAGAAGGGGTTTAGAGGATGGGTAGGGAGGAGGTACCCTGGTGATGCCTCAGTCCCCTCCCACTCCAAAGGTGACCTCTGCCTCCACACTCCTCCTGTCCTGCCAAGGAGGTCCATACTCTTCTGAGTCTGGAGGCATCTCCACAGAGTTGTGCACTAGTTGTCACAACTGTATACTTGAAACCATTTTATTGGTCCAGGACTGCACACTGAAACAGCATCGCTGCCACTGTTCTTTGCATAACAAACATGTGTTATTACATAAATTCAAATGCAGCTCTGTGGTGGCAACATCATACTGTAATGTACATTCTCAAAAAATGATCTTTTGCAGGTTCCTAGAGCAACATTCCGGTGTGCTTAATTTGGTTCTGTGAGATGCTAGGGTGGTAATGCATGTGTTTTGCAAGTAATGAAAACTTGGCAGAAAGATGTACCAGGATATCTGATGCTTTGATGCAGGGAAGAATGAGTCTGTGGAATGGGAAAGATGTGTGTTTAAAACAGTATTACGGCTTGATGCAAATGTAGGGGCAATATGACTAGCCTTGACAGTGGCCTCTGAAGCTGATAACACTGAAAAATTGCAGTGGGTGATAATGCTGTGGTCATATCAGTTGATATAATGCCACTGTCTCCAGGGCTCAGCTCCTACAAATTATAACAGAATATTGACAGCCAGGTTGAACCTCATGTCAAATTCTAGACTGTCCAAGCTTGGGGAGTTTTAAGACCTTCTGCCAAGGATAATCCTTCAAACCAGATATAGGAAAAAAAAATAAAAGAAGGTGCTTTGGATTTACTTTATCAAAGGTCTAAAAGCTAAGATAATCTTGCGAACTTTTTTCCTAAGGAAAAAAATGGAGCAGCTTAATTATCATGGAGTCCTGCACATGGAGAAAAATTTAGTGTTAAAAAATTAGCTAGTTATCTACTTGAGTATAACCTTGGGTTTCATAGTGTATCCAGAATTTGTTTCAGTGAGAATGAGCTGAGAGTAAGCGTCTTTGGGTTGCTGTTTAAGTATTTCTATGAAACAGAGCCTGAAGGCAAAGTATCACATGCTTATAGGACAATCAGACAATTATTTAGAGGCTTGGTTGACTTCAATAAACACTCTGCACTTATATTATAAAATAATTATCCTGTTTCTTCAATGAGATGCATCATTGTGAAAAAGAGATATATGGTGAACAGCTAAAGGTATTATTTTTCCTAATATTGATGAACTCTGCAGCGTTTGATAATGGAACATAGGATGTCCTCTCATAGAAATATTACAATGCAGTAGCATTAGCCTGTGCTACGTGGGGAGAATAACACAAGATGCCTGCTAAACTGTGTGCCCTGCCCTGGTTCTTTCTCTGTCTTCTTTCATAGTTGGAGGCCTTTACCAATATCCCAGTCTTCCCTGGCTTGCTGCTGCCCCCCCCCCCCCCCCCCACCCCATGTTTTCCAGTTCAGGTGGCCACTTCACTTTGCCATGGGATAAGTTCAATGCTGACAAGCTGGATATTTTCCTCCCTCATGCTGCAGCTATAATTAACAAGGCAGACTGAATCAGAAGCTGAGTGATCTTGAGTCAGCCCATTTCCCTTTTACTTGGCTGTTCGGAGGGGTGAATTGGGTGGGATGATGGTTGTTAAGAGGTTTCTGTGTATAACATGTTTTATTAATGTTGTAATATTCAACTAAAATGGAATACAGTGTTTTGTATCACTTTAACAAAACAGGGTTATGATCTGTTTTGCTATTGATGTTCAATGTGAATCCATTTAAAATACTGGAAAACCAAACTAGCTATGCATTGACTGAAATCAGTTATCTGCTTATCATAGGCGATTGTGGAGCTCCGCCAACATTGAAAAATGCTGTTCCCTTGGATAAAGATTATAAAGACAGCTATCTTCCTGGCCATTCAGTAACCTATACCTGTTTGAGTGGTTTTTACAATATCCAAGGAAAGCTAGATGTTATAACATGCCTACGAGATTCTCAGTGGTCACCCCTGGAAGATTTTTGTGAACGTAAGTTTTATTTTTTGCTGTACATGTTTTTGGCCATTAGTCTTGGAATGTACTGAATAGTTTATGGCTTGTAATACTCCAAATGAACTGGTAAGAGTATTATTAACTTTCTTTGAATTTTGTGTCACTCCTGCTGATGCTGAAATGATTACACCTTGTTAGCAGCCATATCAACAGCCATGTGCTGGACAAGAAAGTCAGCCCACCTCTATCAGACTGGTCTTGCAGATTCTGAAAAAAGTTTTAAACTTAATACTATGTCCAGACTCTGTGCAGATCAAATCCATAAAAATCAGTTTATTGGGAAATGGTTAACTATCTGTCTTGCCTTGATTGAACAGTTTATGAACTCCCATACCCAGGCATCAGTTTAGCACCATTACCACCTCATCTGAACTGAATGAAGAAAAAAATTCCACCCTTATACCTGAATATAAGGATATCTGAGTACTGGAATACATGTAAGAACTATTGGGATATACTTGCTCACCACTCCATTAGCATCCTCACACATGCTAGACTCACCTTCTAAACTCCTGAGCTCCTTGTGTTGCGGGACATCTCTGCCTTCATATTTAAAAGTTGAAACATGGAGGAAGAATTGATGAGCAGAGGAAAGGAAAAGAAGAAAAATCAGGCATCAGTGCTTAATGTTATATGGTACAAAATTTTGTAGAAATGGGCTGTTCACAGTTCAGAAAAGACCCAGAAAGTTGAATGGACCTTCATCTGAATGGCTGTAGTGCCGCTAAATATTTCTGGGGGTTGGTCACATGCATGGGCGCTAGTGCTGAGGTTCTTGGAGAAGAATTCTTTAGAGGTCTCAGAGGAAGGGGAAACTTTGGGGGCCTAATGGGGAAATTGTTGGCTTCTTGTGCCTCCTGCCATGGCATTAAACTTCAGGGACCCAGATGATTCCATCGCCTCCGGTGCAGATGGTCCTGCAGCTTTTCTATGCTGGTGGGTCATCCCCAAAGGTCTCTGTTAGCAGGAGGAAGATATAACTGTGAAAGATATTCCAACTGTGGAATGCGCTCCCCAGAGAGGTTCGCCTGGCACCAACATTATATTCTTTTTGGCGCCAGGTAAAAACCTTTTTATTCGCCTGGCATTTTAATATTTTAATATTTTAGCTAGTTTTTAATGGTCATGCTTAGTCACATTTCACTTTTTTATTTTATTTTATTTTATTATGTTTGTTGTATTTGTTGTGTGTGTTTATTTTTATGTTTAACTATGCTGTAAGCGGTCCTGAGACATTGTTAAGGATGTGGTAAAATACTGTAAATAAAATAAATTTAAGTAAATAAATAAAGCTAGACGCTAATTCTGAAGGAGCTCTTAAGGAAAAGTAATTTCTGTGTCTGCAGTTCTGGCTGTGTTGCAGCTTCTTCAGAAGAAATATGTGGCATTATGAAAATCCTTATTCTACTGGTTGTCTCTCAGCTTTTGCACGGATAGGACAGGTACCTTTGAATAAAATGAGGTACCTTTGAATAAAATTCCCTTTCTAGCAGGGAAATTGGACTGTGTGTCAGGTATAGGCTAGCATAAGCCTTTCCTATGAACATATATTGGGATTTACCAATTCAAACAGTAATGTATATTTTACCATCTTTATGACAGACCAAGATGTCTCTTTTTCCAAGTAGTTTGATATTCATTTCTATCTGGGGGGATGCAAGGCTTGCCTTTGCAGGCAAATGGTGGGAGTAGCTACAGACAAAATCTCTGAAAGCTGAGAGCTATGAGAAGAGCACTGGCCACGGCATCATCAGTTGCCCAGCAGATCTTAGGACTGAGGTCTGGCTTTGTCAGACTGTATTAGGCAGAGGCTGGGAGACCAAACTGCCCCGGAAGACAGGAGGAGCAGCATTTTCTGGCCATACTTGCTGCATGACAGCTGATTGCCTGAGGCATGAAGAAACTAACAGCAGAATCTGGATAACCTATTAATCTATACTGGGTTAAATCAACTCTACAACAAGCCATGGGTAGTTGGGATGGCTCATAAACCATCCCAAGGAGACAGTGCTAGGTTTGGACGACACGTTAAACTGCCATGTCTTATGGCGCGTTATTGTATTATGTGAGTCCAATCAATCAATCACCAGATGTAGGAATGGTGGTGAAGGAGGAATGCAGAGGTATTCTGAGTATTTGGGTGTATCTGGAGTTGTACCCCTGTCAGATTGGCCACTGTTTGTAAATGATTTCCTGCTCTCTGCCAAGGCAATGTCTTGACTATTTTGTGAGGTTGGAGTGGGTTTACTCTTTATGTGTTGTGGTTGACTTAGCAGATAGGCTGTTGAACAGAAAGCTATGTCATCCTGTAAAAGATTGGTCTTACTTTTACAGTTCTTGCCACTCTGTCTGCTTTCATTGACAGCCAGCTGTGTTAAACCACCAAGGTTTAAATTTGCCAGAATAGAACCGGGATTTGCTAAGGCCTACTATGCAGCTAAATCCAAAGTGAACTATGTCTGCCGTCCAGGTTATGAAAGAATCCTTGGAACTACCCCTGTTGTAACTTGTCGTGAGAATTATACCTGGACAGAAATCCCAGATTTTTGTAAAGGTCAGTTTCTTATTGTTGCAATTAGCTTCAAGACTACACTGAGCAGCTGCACTTTTGGCCTTTAATATTTTCACAAAGGTTTGATCCCAAGGGCACAATGCTGTAGCTGGTAGATGCTACTTGGCATCCAAGGTAGCAATGGGGATTCTTCCTTTGGAGAGGTCCTGCAGACAGAAGACCATCTTCAAGACAGGACCTGGGAGGCAGGGAGAAGAAGCGTGGGGCATGGAAGGGAAGGGTTAGCCCTTCCTTCTTACAGAGAGGGAAAAACATTTTTAGCCAATGTCAATCATGTAAATGTTTTTAGAGTGAAGGGAGTGTGGAGGCAATCCTTTGTGTTTTTCCCACACTTGAGTGGATTCCTGTAAATGTCCAAGTTTGGAAGATTATAAGCAGCCACATAGGAAGCATCCTAAGAATATCAATAGCTACAATCTTTAAATAAATTGTTTAGGGATTGTGTGGCTGATACTTCCATTCTTCCATGCAACTCTGTTATGGCGTTGAGGAACCTAAGAAATTAAGATGCTTTTAGTTTGCTTTTAATTTGGTTTTGTATAATCTGCTGTTTTTGTCATGTATTTTTCTGGATCATGAACAGTTTGGCTGTGAGTAGCCTTGTACGTTTTATATTCAGAAAGAAAGGCAATATAAAATGTTTTAAATAAATAAAAAATGGACTAACTGCCTAAAATGTTGGTCAAAATAGTCAAGAATGAAAAAGAAGTAAATTGAAAAATGATATTTTAAAAAAGATTTTAAGAAAATCTACCCAAACTATACCATATGCCAGAATTTCTCTAAGAACAGGCTGAAAGTAATTAGTTTCAGTGAATTTCTTAAAGTTTTATTAAATTACAACCAGTACTTGTGTTTTTGCAATGCGGTATTTCTACCTTGGTTTTTAAAAAAAACACTATTTTCTATTTTAAGAAAAGCTTATCTAATACTGGGGGCAGGTACTGATTCCTGATAAAGGAGGCCTATCATGAAACATTCTTGTGGCCAGGATAATCACTGAATTAATTGTGTGTTTGTCCATATAAACCTAGCATGCTAATTCTCAATATTGTTCTCTACCAGGAAAATCCTGTGGTCATCCAGGAAAACCAGAAAATGGCGAAGCTGTAATTCTAACTGATTTCCTGTATTTGGCAAAAGTACATTTCACCTGTGAAGATGGGTGTGTTGGTTGACTCTACTAGCAAAAGTTACATAAAGTATATGGGCTGGATCCAGATTTAGTTATGCTCAGAGATGATCCACTGAAATCAATGAGATGGAGAACAAAACAGATCCATGGTCTACCTGACATTCTCTCTCTCTCTCTCTCTCTCTCTCTCTCTCTCTCTCTCTCT